GTCTCATCTTCACTGTCACTTTTTACACTAGCCTCACTTTTGTCACTTGCAGAGTCAACTCTAACATATGATTTTGTGTCACTTTCTTGCTCACTATTTGATGAGTTGCCATCTTCTGTTTTCTTATCATCACTATCAGAACAAGAATCTGTGTCTGACTCACTATCACTATCTGAGTCTGAACTACTTTCTGATGAACTGCTGTTTGAATTCTTGGCAGCCATCATTTCCTTAAATTGTCTGACTGTTATTTTCCTAGGCATTATTTCTCTGAGAAATTCCAATACATCATTAGTCTGGACCACTTCTGCCAGATGTTTGTAGTCTAAAGAATTTCCTTTGCTGTTTAGTAAATGTGCCTCTTCCGTTATATAATGTATGAACAATTCCTATAAAAGTAATTTCATATTTTTGTTTATTGTCAACGAAATGTGCACGTATCCTTACAACAGACATTAAACAATCGATTCCTGTATATCGTAAATATAAAATACACGAAAAATACAAATTTTTAATTGACCCGCGACATAGCAGTTATGGAAACTACAGAAATGTACAAAATAATCACATTTGAGTGCCACTTAACCTCAATGTTTTAACAAATCTTACCGTAGCTTTCGTGACTAAATATAACCCATCCTGACCAATTGTATCAACGTATGGAGAACTTTTCATAATTGTTTTTACCCTTGACATAGGTAAACGTAATTCCTTAATTTTAGCAGGTGATCCTTGTGCAGTCATTTTTATTAAAAATTGATTTCTACCAGAAACAAACGTAAACCAACTACTGTATACACTATACGTATGTTGATAGATTACCGCCAATTTTCGAACTTTTTCTTTTACACATCAATTTAACGTAAAACTCGAGAATATACTGTTAATATTTAAATTTTTCTTTAAATGCTATACATTTAAATTATAAGAACGCGAACAATTGTAATAGCGCAAAATTAACATAATTAAAACTTTCAACATTCTACCATGCACATTTACTTGACGATAATTGTTGCACATGAAAAAAGTTAAATAATTTTTATTTGGTAGTTCATTGGTAAAATTAATGGGTTTTATCTAAAATGTTTTAAAAAACAAACTTGTATTGAATTCGTCGGTAGTAATAAAGTACTCCAGTGACATCTTCTTTCTCTGATCATATACTACTGTTTCTATTTCTTTTCAATTGGCACGTTATATCCAGCTTACAGAGATTTTGGCCAGGGGACAATTGTTGCATCAATCTGACAATCTGTAACGAGTCAAGGTATATTTAATAATAATTAAGCTGCATATAATCCACATGCACATCTAATTAGTTCGCAGTATCAGTGAACGTCGGATTAATTATACTTCCCTATATAACCGTTGAATTAATCGATCAATACGGCACATGGCGGATTCGTGTTATTAATGTTCCAGTGAAAAATTTACTGATTGTTCATACACAGTTGTACAGATTGTTCATTCTTTGGTTCGTAAACGACCCCATTTAATATATTTCTTTCATTCATAAAATGTACGTCCGATTTATAGCTACATATATCTTACATTATATATCTTTATCCTTCATTTTTACAAACATCTGTTTCCTCCCTCTGGTAATTTTTTATGGAATAGTGTACAAATTTTCATTTCCGTTCTTTTTCTTTTATCTAAGTCCTTATACCTTATGGAATAAAAATGTATATGGTTATTTTATTATATTTATACACATGTTAAGACAAACCTTTTCTTGGCAAAATGTTGGCATAGTTGATGCCTAATTTATAAATTACAGGAACAAAGTACCTGCCAGAATGTCAACTTTTCTTGGTCTTATTAAGGAGATACCTGGCGTGTCAGTGGATCGTTTTGATGGAGAAAACTTAACATCCTCTGTGTTTTTTCTTAGTCATTGTCACATTGATCATATGCAGGGTTTATCAGATTTGTTTTTCATGCATTTAGATGATCATAAAAAATATCTTTATTGCAGCCCCATTACAAAAGAATTATTAAAAAATAGATTTAAATTTAGAAGTTCTTCTGTCAAAGAAATAAATGTCAATACATCTACTATTATAGAATATAAAACACAG